TTTTCAGTTGCTGATAAGTTCCAGGGTCGAAAAATTAAGTCAACAAAGGAGACGCTTGCGGACCTTTATCCCACTTAAAAAAAAAACTTTAGCCATTGAACTGGTATGAGCACGAATGGAATTCGAAATTTTTTTGAAACTAGCCGAAGAAAATCATGCCGCGACGACTCGAAGCTAAATGATTTGAAAGACAGCAGACAACGATAGCTATCTGTGGTCGTATTTCCTTTTTCCAATCACATGTTTCTCATTTTTCCAAAATTGTTACTGTGAGTCTACCATGCGCTACACAAGGTTTGCCACGAAGAAGTAGGCCTCTTCCGAGAACTGCCTCAATTTCCTTAACAAAATCAAAATTCATGTGTAAGCATCATGATGCCGCTCTCCTACCGGTAAAGGTTCCCTATACCCAGCAAGCTTCTTCAGACCCTTCACATCCGCATTATGCGGAGACGTATTCAATGCCTGCCGCATCAAACATTCGTTGGATGAGTGCAAAGCAGAGAGTGTTAACATAATGGGTAAATTCTTAGCCGTTAATCAGTCCTCTTGGGATGCGGCACCCGTTTCACTTCCATTCAGAATCGCAGCGACTTATTGAATGCGATGTGGCCTATGCAATGACTTGCAGACCGGTCGATGTACAAGTTTGCGTTATTATCCTTGAGACGAATCTAATACCGATTGCCTTCCAAGAGGAAAGAAGGCTCGTTGGCCTAGGGGAGGGGGGGGCGATCCGGACTTGCGACTACTCGTAATAGTCAAGACTTTGACAGGCAGGCTTAGTAAGAAAGTTTGAAGGAAAAAAAATCTAGAAAAAAAGGCAAAAGGTGAAACTCACATCAACTGGACGGAGCGGCTCTCCCGAATGGCACTGAAATCGCTAGTAGTTTTACACAAACATTGACCACTTCATAAATGAAGCGCACCTGAGAGGCACTCGCAACAGAATTGTCCACCTCTACGTCCAGTTGGTGATGGGGAAGCTCATCCTACAAAAAAAGAGTATATCACACAGGAGAAGTCTTTTGAAGTATGTGAGCGAAGCAAGGCATATTCATACATCGTAAAGCCTTTGGCTGTTCTTCCTAGTACTACCCGCTACAGACGCACCATCGAATAAGTCGACCGATTCTGGCAGATCGTCGGCAGCTCGCGCCTTTCTGGAAGCTCCACAAAAATGTGACAGATAAGTCTGTGAGCTAGCACGGCAAAGCCCCGGAGTGTAAAAATGGGAAGTAAGGCGCGCCAAAGGAAAGTAAGTATTGATTCGGCAAACCGGAAGAACAGGAGAATCAATCGGTCTCAATCTACTAATTTCGCGCGCATTTTCTATTCTACGTGTGCAGATGAACACGGGCCAAAGCAATAAACTCACCGGTTTATTCCTCTCCTCATCAACCACATCGGCCACATGTGACTAACTCAGCCTCAGAGTTGCTGGTCGTTCTTACCATCGGTCATCAGCGCTGTAGTCACCGTCGCTTTCTTTCCACTTCTTGTCAGCTTCTTCTGATTAAATCTGATAGCGTTAACCCAAGAAGGCAAAACTTTTACGTAATATAAAAGCTGACTGAACTACACGACAACGAGCCTGTGAACAAGAGTAAACGACATACTTTTCGTCTTAACTTCTTATTGTCATCATCATCAACATCTTCCTCCTCTTCATCATCTTCTATCATACCCTCATTATCCTCCATGTACAATTCCTTGCGTTTCGCAAGCCCAGCCCTTCTTCTTTCGGCTAACTTCTTCTCAAGGGATTGCTTCAGGCATCTCTGCTTATCTACTGGAATGTTAAATTTTGTCTACTAAAACTTGGGGTCAAAAAGACATAGAAAAAGCAGAAACTCACTGCTAGGAGGAGCATTGGCCGGCAAATGGGCAACTCTGAAACATGGATGTAAGTCTGCAGGTGGATATTGTCAACTACCTTATACGTAAAGCTAAACCCCACGTGCTTTCCTTCTTTGCTATTTCAGCCTTGATTGACGGGAATTTCTTCTTTAACCATGATATATCGCCTAATTTATCCTGAAAAAGTGTGGTTTTATAGTGCTGTCGACAAGAAAAATAGACATTTTTACCTCTTCCGTGCGAAGATCTACGACACTATCCTGTGGTGTGCTCAGTTTCGGAAGTTGCAGATTTGCAAGGGCCAAGCGCCTATTGAGCCTTCTGATTTTCCCCTCAGTTCTCATGGTTTCAGCTTTTGGATCGGGAATTAAATTGGCACCATTTTCTTGTAAGTCGTCGACAGAATACTGTATGGTCATGGAGGAGGCTGACGTGCTTGACGCTTGGGAAGAATCATCCTGAGCAGCATCGACCTCCATCTGAAGCAAAGGAAATTAAACAGAATTTGTGGTCGTAGCCTTGTGAACGGAAATACCGATAATTTATAATCACGAGAAGAGAAAAAAGAACGCTTTGATCATAAAAGGTCACAATCGGTACTTAACATCCTCGCGCAGAATCTATTCCCCAGTAGTATGAATGGAGCCTCACATGGAAGGTTGAGAGACAGGTTTTCTGCACTTTATCGCAGCAAGGTACGGGAAAAAATAAAAAAAAAGCGAAGCGAGAACTTAGCACTTAACACTTACGGGTCTTGTTCGCTGCGGATGCGGGGGCGTGTCAAGCGGGATGGCTTGACGTGGCGCCAGCTACGTTTTCCACCAGTTGTTGGAGCGAGCAAGCGACAAAACTGTATCATGTCGTTCGTATCAGTCGTTCTCCACCAAGTGATGTCACTTACACGCTTCAACAACTAGTGGAGAGCGCGGTTTGACGCCGCGATAAACCCACCCTGCTTGACACGCTCCTTCAACTGCGACGAACAAGACTGTACGTTCCCACTGCAGAAATTTCCTCGAATTCCGAAAAATCAAGAGCTTTGGGCATTTTTCTTATAGTCCGAGTCATTAAGTAAAGTAGTCCTGGTAAAACTGCGAAAAGCTACGAGTTTCATTCTTATACATTACTTGTACTTTTGTCATGCTGTAGGCTTTCCAGTGCAACAAAGTGCGAGAAACGAGGGACTACACTTTAATCATGAAACAGTGAAGGAAGTCGTGAGTGCACCAACTCTATTGTGCAAAGTGATTTTCACGTATTGTGAGCAGCATAGGCGGTTCAGCTACCTCGGGGCCGAGAGAGGAGAATAATTCTCATTTGCGAACCTGTTTTCAGTAGCCCGTTTACTTTTGAGTGTATTTACGGAGCCTTCAGTAGCACAATAATCAGGTCGCATTGCTGATGAGGCTAATAGTACGACACTGGGCTGCCGCAGAGCCCTTACAGAACTTTACAACATGGCCCTGTATTGGACGAGCGCTTAGATTTTAAATAAGAAGGATCACAGAGCTTGGCCAGCTTTTGGTGGTCTGTTTGCGCCAAAGCATTTCAGATAAGAAACATTACGTGGGTAAGAAAAATCCTCAATACAGTCTTGTCCTCCTCGCGGATGAAGGGGGTGTCGGACGCGATCGAGTCTGGCGCTGCGCCAAACCGTTTTTGACCAGTTGTTGAAGCGAGCATGAGATAAGACCGTATATCGCCCGTATCAATAATTTTCCGCACATTCTGTCGCTTGTCTACTTCAGCACTGGTGGAGACGAGCTAGCGCCGCTCCAAAACCGTCCTGCCTGGCACGCCTCTTCACCAGCAGCGAACAAGACTGTACAATTCCCTTTCCCGTGACTTATTCATCGCTGCGACCGTCCATACAAAACCCGATCTGAAGCGGTCAGACATCGCTAGTCAACTAGCGTAAATAGTTGTCGTGCTGTGCCACTATTTGGCACGAAACGGAAAAACCAACAACAGGAAAACCTCCGCCTATGTGGATTCCCCAAAGATGACCTACTCCACATCGCAATAAGAAGAGAATTACAATAAAAATGAGAAAAAAAAACTTGCTCCCCAGCTCCAACCGCTTACATCAAGCACTGGCTAGATATTCACCCTCTGCACTTGCGCTCGCAGAGATAAGGAAGGTATCGGAAGTTGTTATGTCGCGACAATCCCAACAATTTGAACTTAACAAAAAAACTTGGTGATGTTTGTGCAGTAAGAGGAAAGTACAATGCAATATTGAACAACATGGTGTAATAGGAGAGTTGGCTGAAAGCCAAGCAATTTGAATTGGGCGCGTGACCGTAATCGCTGCGTATCGCCACGCTGAAGCGATGCAGTTCGTCGCGACAAGAATCGCATTCCACTACAGCCTCACTACTTGATCGCCGCCTCGCTTGTGCGGTTGTGAGCCCCGTTGATTTCGTCAAGGAAGTTGCCGTGAGCAACACCGACATCTTCAAAAATGGTGAGTCTCAAGTTTCACCTTTCATGAAAGCAGCTATGTTAAGTAGGTAACAAGTCAATATTTAAAAAATAGGATATTTCGTAATTTTACTTGTAAGCTTGTTTTAATATTTTTAAGGTGAACTTCACTATCGAAGAGATCCGTGCGCTTATGGATCGCAAAAAAAATATTCGTAACATGTCCGTCATTGCGCACGTTGACCACGGAAAATCGACCCTTACTGACTCACTTGTCTCAAAGGCTGGTATTATAGCAGGTGCAAAAGCTGGAGAGACTCGTTTCACTGACACCCGTAAAGATGAGCAGGAAAGATGTATTACCATCAAGTCTACGTAAGTGTTCATGTTTTATTTCGTCGGCTGTTTTTTCTACCTCATTTTTTGTCACTTAAGCTAAGTTTTCTTCAGTGCCATATCTATGTTCTTTGAACTCGAAGGCGAAAGATATTGAGTTCATCAAGGGAGAGCAACAAGTTGAAATCACTGAGGTTGACGGAAAGAAAGAGAAGTTCAAGGGCTTCCTTATCAATTTGATCGACTCCCCTGGTCACGTTGACTTCTCCTCTGAAGTCACTGCTGCTCTTCGTGTCACTGATGGAGCTCTTGTTGTTGTGGATTGCGTTTCTGGTACGTTACTTGTGCTGAATCATTGTGTAGTACCCACTGTATCGATTGCGAAACACTTTTTTTCAGGTGTGTGTGTCCAAACAGAGACTGTGCTGCGTCAGGCTATTGCCGAGCGTATTAAGCCCATTTTGTTCATGAACAAGATGGACCGTGCTCTTCTCGAACTGCAACTGGGAGCTGAAGAGCTGTTCCAAACTTTCCAGCGCATTGTTGAAAACATTAATGTTATTATTGCAACATACGGAGATGACGATGGTCCAATGGGAGCCATCATGGTAGACCCCTCAGTAGGTAATGTCGGGTTCGGTTCTGGTCTTCATGGCTGGGCCTTCACTCTGAAACAGTTTGCCGAGATGTACGCTGACAAGTTCGGAGTTCAGGTAAATAATTTATTGAAATCTTGGAAGGAAACAGTTCATGGTAATTCTTAGGTTGACAAACTGATGAAGAACCTTTGGGGTGATCGATTCTTCGATCTGAAGACCAAGAAGTGGAGTTCACAGCAGAGCGAGGGTGCGAAGAGAGGATTCAACCAGTTCGTATTGGATCCTATTTTCAAGGTATCGATTTTGCCTCTATTTTAATTTTCCAGCGCCCTCTTCTCGTTTACGGGCATATGTACTGTAAATACTTTGCCAGGTACAATGTGTGTCTGTGCTATGACACCTGCTTATCGTTTCCTGTTTGCGAACGTATCCGGTTTCAAGACTAAAATGGGGGAGCTATTCTGAAGGCGATCCGGAAAATTATTAGCGGAATGGGGCGCCTGCTGAATCCTGTCTGAGTTTTTGCTCCCGATCACTGCTATCTTTCAGGTTTTCGATGCCGTTATGAACATCAAGAAAGATCAGGTTGAGGCCCTCATAGTTAAGTTAGGAATCAAGCTAGCGCATGACGAGAAGGATCTAGAAGGCAAACCCCTTATGAAGGTTAGTGTCTTAAGGTCCTTACCAATAAGGCAATCTTTTCTCTACATTCTATTTCTAGGTATTCATGAGGAAATGGCTTCCTGCTGGAGATACCATGCTTCAAATGATCTGTATTCACTTGCCTTCTCCAGTAACTGCTCAAAAGTACAGGATGGAAATGCTCTATGAAGGCCCTCATGACGACGAAGCTGCCGTCGCTATCAAGAACTGTGACCCTAACGGCCCTCTGATGATGTACGTATCGAAAATGGTACCGACTTCGGACAAGGGACGATTCTACGCTTTCGGACGTGTGTTCTCCGGAAAGGTCGCCACCGGAATGAAGGCCAGAATCCAAGGACCCAACTACGTGCCAGGAAAGAAGGAAGACCTCTACGAGAAGACTATCCAACGAACCATTCTTATGATGGGTCGTTACATTGAACCCATCGAGGACATTCCATCCGGAAACATCGCCGGTCTTGTTGGAGTTGACCAGTACCTCGTCAAGGGAGGAACCATCACCACATTCAAGGATGCCCACAACATGCGTGTGATGAAGTTCTCTGTCTCACCTGTCGTCCGTGTTGCTGTGGAAGCAAAGAATCCCGCCGATCTGCCCAAACTGGTAAACATTTCATCTTTTTTTTCCGCTTTCCTAAGAATCGCAGTGTATATTTCAACTTCTATTTCTTCTTCTGTTTAGGTAGAAGGATTGAAGCGTCTCGCCAAGTCCGATCCTATGGTGCAATGTATCTTCGAGGAATCTGGTGAACACATTATCGCTGGTGCTGGAGAACTTCACCTGGAAATCTGCCTGAAAGATCTTGAAGAGGACCATGCTTGTATTCCGCTGAAGAAGTCAGACCCTGTTGTGTCATATCGTGAGACGGTATCGGAAGAGTCAAACCAAGTTTGCTTGTCGAAGTCACCAAACAAGCACAACCGTTTGCATGCCACCTGTAAACCCATGCCTGACGGACTTGCTGACGATATCGAGAATGGCACCGTCAATGCTCGCGATGAATTCAAAGCTCGTGCCAAGATTCTCGCTGAGAAGTACGACTATGACGTCACCGAAGCACGTAAGATTTGGTGCTTTGGTCCCGACGGCACTGGTCCAAACATTCTAGTCGATGTTACAAAGGGAGTACAATATCTGAATGAAATCAAGGATTCGGTCGTTGCTGGATTCCAGTGGGCAACAAGGGAAGGAGTTCTTGCTGACGAACACATGCGCGGAATTCGTTTCGACATCCAAGATGTTACGCTCCACGCTGATGCTATTCACAGAGGTGGTGGTCAAATCATCCCGACTGCTCGTCGTGTTATTTATGCATCCGTACTCACTGCTGGACCACGACTTTTGGAACCCGTTTACCTGGTCGAAATTCAATGCCCTGAGGTAGCCGTAGGAGGTATCTATGGTGTGTTGAATCGTAGAAGAGGACACGTGTTCGAAGAGTCACAGGTCGCCGGAACTCCTATGTTTGTTGTCAAAGCCTACCTTCCTGTCAACGAGTCATTCGGTAAGAAGTTTAAGTCATCTCTTTTCGCGTCCCTTCTTCACCCAAATTTGTTTAGGTTTCACTGCCGACTTGCGTTCAAACACTGGTGGTCAGGCTTTCCCTCAATGTGTGTTTGATCACTGGCAAGTTCTGCCAGGAGACCCACTGGAGCCTGGAACCAAGCCTAACCAGGTTGTTCTTGAGACGAGAAAACGTAAAGGACTCAAGGAAGGCGTGCCCGCACTCGACAACTACCTTGACAAATTGTAAATCTATTGTTCCGGCTTGTTGTTACCAAGGTTATCTAATAAAAAAGGTTGTTGATGGAGCTGTTTCGCAGTTATTCAAAATTCCCGTTGTTTTTTATTTATGCAAGAGCTGAATAAAGTTGTATAGCTTGGTGGTTCCGTTCTAACAATCGTCAAAAGCAGGGTTGGTGTTCGTTTCCCTCTCGTGGCACTAATGGGGGAGGAGTTTTGGCCGAGGGCGATCTGACGCTGCTGTATTGATCGGAGCCGTATTTTGCAGTTGTTCAGCGGCTTTCGCGGCGAAAGGTCGCGCTCACTCGGCCTCCCACGGGTCGTGCTCGGTTTCACGCTAGTGTTGTGTTGAGTGCCGCTTTGTTCCTTGGTTAGCATGGCTTCTACTAATTATCTTCCATGGTGCAGTGGACTTCGTCCTGTCCGTGTTTTTCCTGTGCTCGTTGTGTGCCTCTTTCTGTTAATGCCATGTGTGGGGATTTATAGTGGTGGGCTATCTTTGGTGGTCTGAGGTGCTCAGGTGGGCTGCTGGTGTTTCAGCGCTAGATTGCACACAGTTCCCCAAGCTTAACGCAGTAATTAACCTGAGGTGATAGATACCCTGCATGGTTACTTGAGAGCTGAACGGATTCAAAGAAATACAATTTGACTCCGAACCAGACAAAAGCAACATTTAGAAGACATAGAAGCTGTTCTGGTACATCTCCAGGACCTACCAGTACATCCTTCCATGATAAGTTACTCCGTGACCCCGCAGGGGTGAGATGGGGGCAGTGGAATGGCTCGACAGGCAAGTGTCATACTGGAGCGCTACTGGTTCCCCAACTCCACTCCGCCTCTGCACCTTCTGCACCGGACAACTCGTCCAGGCCGCTCGCCATCTGTATTCACTGTCCATTAACAATGCTGCATCAGAAGCAGACTGGGTAGTTAAGTACGGAGTTTACAGCTGCGGAAGCGACGTACCCCCGTGACGATGACATGCGAATAGCCTCATAGGTATCAGGCCAGATTCTTCAGACGTTCTCGAGTTGCTGTATCGCTTCTATCACGGCCATCGTCAAGAGACGCCTCTCCCGCCAATCCGATACCTTTCTCTACAAAACCCACCTCTTACAATTAGTAGCAGGTGTTCCCAAGGTAGTAGCGATAGAGCGACCCTCAAAGGCACCTCGCACAGTTACCTGGCTAGCAGAATGTTTCCGAGTATTTGGCAGCCATGTTCGAGGCGGCAGAAAGTGCACTTGTTTCGCCATCTCGGCGCACTTCGGCGACGAGGGGTGGGGGGGGGGGGGGAGAAGTGGGAGCGCATCCTGCACTTCTGCTACTTCCCATCGATGTGTCTAGCCATCTTGTGAGCTATTTCATGAGCTTATAAGTTGACAGATTTTACCATGGAGCGAAACGAGCCTGCTCCAACTTCACAAGAGTTCACAGTTTTCGCCAGAGTAAGACTTGTAAATCATAACTAGTGAAGCAGCGAAAGTGCAAAATACCCTTCCCTCCCTCCCGTGCATGTTGCTGAGCTTCATGCGGTAGCTACAAAGCTCATCCTCGCTGGATGCTGTTGGGATTGCCAAGAAAGGGATAAAAAATGTTCCAGGAGTTCACGACGAAATCGGTGAACGAAAGTTCTTCTGTTCTCTGGACAAAAGATTCGAGTGTTTTTGAACAGGTTTTTGTTCGCACAGAAGGTCCGATGAAGTTATGAATATTAAAATTGCAGAAATGCGAAATTTGGCTGCCTAGGGGATTCGAACCATTATCCTGCTTCGCTCTCCTGTTCGCCATTTCTTTGGCCGTCCCAGAAACATGCAGCGGAACTGAACTACACTTTTTTGGTTCTTGCAAGAACCTTTACAACATGCAACAAACCGGTTGAAAATGGGCTCTAAGACCTGAAAGATCGCCTTTGTAAGGGGTATAGAGAACGCGTGACTGGCTCACTTTCGGATCTGCGGCTCCCATAAGTGCCAACACAAGGGAGACCTACATGAAGCGGTGCCTATAGCGTCGTGTGACGGTTTCATGTGCTCTTTAGAGTACTGGTTAGAGTATATGAGCCTTTATAAGTCTTTAGAGTATATAAGTCGACTTCTACTGACCACGCTCTTGCTCACAACTTATTTTGCTTTCCTTGAATATTCTGCTCGAAAACGGGGCACATCCGATCAAAACAACTCGCTCTGAAAATTAGGATTTCAGCGTCAATGATGCACTTGCACTGGTGAAGTGTTTTTCGAATTTTGGTTAATCAAAATTTTGAAGACTTCGTATCGTTGTCTGTGACGACGTTCCCAATCCATCCATCCAATCTCTCTCCACGTCTGAGGCTAGAAACTCTCTCAGCGTGACCCCTTATGACTAGCATAAGGCGGACCTTTGATATGAATTACCCAGTCAGTCTGCCATATACTTTGTCTCCACCATGTTGCGAATGAAACATCTACTACCCTCTTCCTGAAACCACCGTCGTGCCAAGACGATGGCTCATCTTCTATTTATGT